GTATGTATAGATAGATAGATAGATAGATAGATAGATAGATAGATAGATAGATAGATAGATAGATAGATAGATAGATAGATAGATAGATAGATAGATAGATAGATAGATAGATAGATAGATAGATAGATAGATAGATAGATAGATAGATAGATAGATAGATAGATAGATAGATAGATAGATAGATAGATAGATAGATAGATAGATAGATAGATATAGATATATGCATACATACATTGTCTATGGTGTGAATATACGAGATGTGCAGCATCTGAAACTACGGATACTGGAAGCCTGAGCTGGCATTTCTCCTGCGATGTTGCTATCATTGTGTGAAGAGTGGGAGAAAAGAGTTGCATTGACAATCCAATGCAATGAGCAGCACATTGAACACAAGTGAGCAGAAACTTGTAAATAACTCATTAATAAAGTTAAGTTAAAACCAAGCACACCTTTTTTTTCTTGTGAAATTACCAATGAGTTTGATGTGTCACATGACCCTCTTCCTATTGAAAAAAACAAAAGTTGGATCCAAGATGGCCGACTTCAAAATGGCCACCATGGTCACCGCCCATGTTGAAAAGTTTGCCCCCTCACATATACTAATGTGCCACAAACAGGACTTTAATATCACCAACCATTCCCATGTTATTAAGGTGTTTCCATATAAATGGCCCACCCTGATCTATTGCATATAATTTAAAATAAAAGCAAATCTATAACATTTTAAGTTCATTTTGTCCTGAAATCATTAAAATACAGGCAGTAAAAATAAACTGCATTTAAATGTCTAACAGTCAAACTCAGTGCAGAATCAATGTTAAAACTAATTAAATTGCCTTACAGTTAGCAATGTCCATGTATAAAAATAAGTGCCTTACGATGACACAATTTTAGTGCAACATAGATTTTTTTTAAATGCATTACTTTCTATGAAAACAACGTTGTGGTTGTGTGTAAAATAATAAGGTGCAATCAGATATTTTTGCAGTCAAGAACCCATTAAAAATTGTTTCTTTCCGCAGACGGCAACCAATGATCTCCTTTAGCCCTGGTCTATTCGTACATGTCAGGAATCATTTTGTCAGTGAAATGTCTGTGGCTTGGTATGATATATCTGGGTTCAAGAATGTGCATCATGAAGCAAAATCTGTCTTTCTCAACAGTGCTGACAGGGGTAAGAGCCTCACAGATGTACACGAAGATGGCTCGTGTTATCAGCGTAGCTTAAGTAGAACTAAAAGGGAGCGTTGCCTGAAAAAAGTAACGCCGGTGTAGGTAACAAAATTTGCTTGGGGTGCCAGATAGGCTCACGGTCCTGTGCCTGCCGATGACGTCACATTGAACGTAGGACTTACGGTAGTTATGGTACCTAAGAAGTCAGTGAAGCTGAATTTGTGTCAGAGAGGTGTCCTGTAAGAATCTGGTACTAAATAAAACTTTAGCAACAAAATTATGGATTTTTAGGAGACTTCAGGATCTTACTGAAGGCAAAGAAAGAAAGAAAGAAAGAAAGAAAGAAAGAAAGAAAGAAAGAAAGAAAGAAAGAAAGAAAGAAAGAAAGAAAGAAAGAAAGAAAGAAAGAAAGAAAACTATTGTTTATATATCGCCTCTCAAGATAAAAATCACGAGGTGTTTCAATAAACAAACAAAAAACTATTAAAGTATAAAAAGTATTTCAAAAAATGATTAAAATATGCTTTAATTGAGAAATAATTGTGATTAAAATATTATTTAAGGACAGGGAGAGAAAAAGTGAATAGGAAAGAGGGAAATCAGTGGAACGCAGGGAAAGGTGGAATGAGTAGAAAGAGCAGAATATGGAGAGGGTGATGAAGGTCACACCAAAGCCAGCCTGAACAGGTGACTTTTCAGCTGCTTTTTAAAGGAGACCACTGAGCCCACTGATCTCAGGCTCTGGGGAAGAGAGTTCCAGAGTCTGGGGGCCACAGCAGAAAATGATCTGTCACTTTTTGGGGCGGTTCTAAAGATTTTTATTCCATCAGAAGGGCAGATTTAGGGTGTTTCTCAATGTAAAGGCACCTGGCCTTGCAGGGTGATGTCTTGCGAAGCCAGGCACCTTGCTTACGAGGACACTGTCCTTCCTTGGTCAAAGAAAATGGTTAAATGGAACAGACTTGCATCACGTGACCGTGGCTTCCACGGCGGTCACTTAACGTCACGTGACACGGGAGATAACGTTATATTTTATACGTATTAGTTTCAATATAAATATATAATGAGACTTTTACTTTTTAAATTGTGTGTATGTTTATTAAATTAAATGTATAACTGAGTTACTACCCGCTAGCCAGCAACTAACCAACCATAGATAACTTCTTAGGATCTAAAAAAAAACCATTTTAAATTAGTTGACTTACATTTAAACTTGAAAATTGCCCCTGAAGTAGCTACCGGCTTCTGATCTGCCATCCTTTTGAAAATACGGCAGTGTAATCTGGGAAATTTTTGACCAAGGCTAGGCTACAAGACACCTCCCGTGTATCCTTGCACAGCTAAACAGCTAACAAATGGAGAGCACACGCCTCGGTACAACATGAACATTGGAACCAGGGGCGGATTTAGGACTGAAGAAGATCTGGGGCTTAACACACACACGCTCACACACAAGTGGCACGCACTAGTCAACATCATATATATTTGTTTTGTACCACATAATTTTTTATCTGAAGCTACATATGAAGCATATTCAGGGCAGAGTATTGTTCCTGTTAGTGTTTAGTGTGAGATGATAGTAAATATTCCCTTTCTTTCTCCAGCAACTTTACCTGATAGTAAGCTAGCTTTAGGCAAACCAGCAGCACAACAAATATTTTCAAATAAGACTCACAAACCTGAGTCAACACCAGTCTCATCAAAGCTGGGGTTCTGTCGTTGTACTTTTGGTCTAAAAAACGTCCTTATGTCCATCTTCACACATGCGTTTCAGGCAGAGACTGTAGAAGGACTGCTGAAGGGCTTCTTCTTCAGTGGTGGAGCCTCAGGCAGGCTTTATACAAACTACTGCCAGCTGCTCCCTCTCTGTTGGACTTTGGTACTGCATGTTACTTCCATGTTTTAGATCCGGGGCATTTCATAAAACATCCGGGACTTCAGCCCAAGTAGCCGGGCCTAACGCCACCCCTGATTGGAACACGTTTTGGCAGCTCCTGATGACGTATCTCTTAGGCAACTAGGGTGGGGCCAAGACATTAAGGCAAGGTTCCTTGGTATTGAGAAACACCCTTAGTGTTAAGTTTGAAAATTAACTTAAAAAATAGAATGTATGACTGCAAAAGTTGAAAACTTCCGAGGGTAAAGGACATTTCAATCCTGAACCTCTAGCCAACATTAAGCCTTGATTTCACAGCTGACCAGAGTTTAGTGGCGCAGCACTGATGCAGTTTGACAACAAGAAGATCTTTTTAACCAAAGATGTGAACGTGAGTGGTAAAAGGATTGGTCCAACATCAGAGCTGATGGAGCTGAGGGTTGAGTTTTAGTCTCTTTGCAAAAACCAACTCCAACAATTGCTTTGCATGAGTTTTTATTTATTTGTTTATACAAATCTCTTGGAGAGCACAGATGCTTTTTTCTCCTCTCCCTCCCTGCTCCTCCCAAGGCTCTCTGTCCTGACTGCCTGTGCACTGTGCTTCTCTGCATTTTTTCTGGAAACTGGAAATTATTAAACATGGTCAGTTGGTTTCTCAACGCGATTGACAAAATCTTTTCAATGATGAGAACGGGAGAAGGGGCTCCTGGATCCCCTTCTGGGACAGAGCCAGCTGGGTATATCATGGACTCCTGTAAACAGTGGAACTTGATCTGCCTGTTTCAACTGTCTGTAGAGGATTCTGGAGATGTTTGGATATTTGTTGTTTTGGAGTCGGGATTCCTGCTGTTTGGTCTGAGCGTTTACCTGGCGTACCGGAAAATTAATGAGCTTTTGAGGAATATTGGCTCAATCCCGGAGGTCAGGAATGGAATGCATCGTGCTGTAAACTTACAGACTCAGATAATTGTCGAGATGAGTCGTAAGCTTGGAACTTTGGCTGAGATTCAGGCTCTGGCACAGAAGGTGGATTCCTTCAAGGAGAGAGTTGACCGATCAGCACGGATTGGAATAGTTTGATAATGCCATTACTCGGACCTTGAGGGGGTTGAAAACCGACAGAACTCTAAGGCAGAGAGGAAATTATCTCTGCCTGTACCCAAAACAATTCTTGTTATCTGAATCTGGTGCCCTTGAAGCCTGTGAGGCTGAAGTGAAAACTCCCCTCAGAAGAAATGTGGAATGCTGCCGTCGCTATGGAAACTCTTTCTCCCTATCCCAGCCTGGGCGGGACTGTGACCGGTGAAGGCCGTGGAACCTTATCTAGGATTCAATGTGCTCTCTAACCCATTATCTCCCCCCCCCCCCCCCCCCACCCCCCCACCCCGTCCAAATGGAGGTGATGAGCACTGCTCTTGCGGCTGCACGATCTGAAGTGAGGAGAGTCCCAACCCTACCTGCCCACCTAGTGGACACTTATGTTGTGTATCATTTGAAGTATGTGTGCATATCTGTCTGAGGTGTTTTTTTGCATAGCAAAGCTATCCTCTCTGTCGGGGGTAACTCTGAAGTGCCTTTTCTTCCCCTCCCCCTGACTCTGTCCTCATATAAACCCTCTTGATCTATAATGATAGCGTGACTCGTGTTGCGAATGACCACAGTCACCAATTCTTGTCATGTGTCTATGTATGTATGTCTGATCTTGGAGTTGTGTGTACTGAAACAATTGAATTTCCCTCTGGGATTAATAAAGTTTTTTTATTTGAATTCGAAAAACTAATTCATCAAAATGTCAGAAAATTGTTAAAAAGAATATGCAGGTGGGATTGGGAAATCTGAGAAGGTGTTTTAAGAATCTCATCTAAAATAAACAACAAGTTTTGTATTATCAATAGAATAAGGTGGCAGTGTTTCTAGACTATGCTTTGAAATTATAGCGATGCCTAAAGAGAAATAGAAAATCCCTTTATTGTCTCTCAGTGGGGAGATTCTGGTGTCACAGCAGCAGCAATCACATTTATTGTAAGAGGAAAAAAGAAGCGTAAAAGTAATAATAAAGAGAAAACAACTAGAAAATGTGACAGAAATACTTAAAAGGTTCAAAATACTCAAACAGTAAATTTTCTAAAATGTGAAGTATATATACAGATTTTAGAAAATACAAATAGAAAATGACTGTGAATTTAAACAGTTAGAGTATTTACAGGGAATGGAAAACACAAATGAGAAATCTGCAAATGCAGTATTGAGTGGGTACAACAGAAAAGAAATTGCAAAATCACAACAACCAGAAGGATTCAGAGGCTGCAAGAGAGAAAGAAAAGAAAAGAAAAGAAAAGAAAAGAAAAGAAAAGAATGTATCTGGTTTGTTTTACTAGACATGCTTTATTTTGAAGAGAGGTATGCTAAAATGTTGTGTCATTATAGTTATTGACAGTTCACCTCCTCTAGCTCACAGAAGTGGCTGAATGCAGATTCAAATAAAAGAGGAAATATGATGGAAGGTGGAGTTTATTGTTTGGTTTTGTGACCCATTAGTCAACATAAATTGTGCTTGAAAGTTTTTTTTCTTAAACATCTCTAAAAACAAAGAATCTTATAAACAAATATGTTTTTTCAAACTAGTAAAACTTGATTAAAATTGGAACTTACAAATAAACTTAACAATTCTACAAAACTACTTTTGCAAAACAGTGTCTGCAGATAGAGGAGCTGTGATCTCCTAACAGACCAGCTACAGATAAATGTGACTATAAAGATCAGAAATCCCTCTGGTTGAGCAGACTGAACATTTTACAAATGATACAACATGATTCTCCAGTTTTCCTCCATAACATCAAGGAAAGTGTTGAATGAGACTCCAGTTGCTGCATTATTTCTAATAGAAACATCTGGAATTACCAAAAGTTCAGCCATCTCTTCAAAAATCAAGTTGAATAATTCATCTTTTACATTTGGCACAGCCACCAGTTTTGTTTTTATCACAAGTTGATGACAAATTCTTCATTTCAGATTCTCAGCAGACCCTTCTCTAGGTTTAAACCACTGGTCTTTTTCTGAGTCTATCCATAATTTTACAACTTTGTTTTGTTATCTGTTACAAGATGATCAGGGCTCTGTTGCCAGGATTTGCCAGGTTTTTCTAAACTCTCATCCTCTAATGAAACTCCCCATAGCTTTCCCTTATACCTTACTCTTAAATGATAAACTTCTTAATCATAAAAGGATGACATTAAACTGCGAAACAAGAACATTTCCTTTCATCTCACAATCTGGATGTGAAGAACAAGAACCATTTCCTCCCATTTCTGACCTCTCTGGACCCTGCAGAGTGAAGACAGTCATCATCCCCATCACTCCAACCTTCATCCTGCCAACTCTAGCCAGAACGGTCTGCAGGACGTCATGTAGCCATGCTGGACTCACTCAAAGCTGGCTTCGTAGGGGCAGATTGGTGCCTAATTGTGGTTTTCAGAGCTGCTGTGCGCTGGGGTATACAACAGGGCTGCATGTGGTCTGGGGGCACAGCAGTGGATGCAGCAATGAAGGAATCAAACTTGCTGGGTCTCATTGACACACAGAACCAAAGGTCACCACAGTTGTGCATCGGCTGGCTGAGTGACGGCCACCAGAGTAGCGGCATGAAGGTTCAAACTCATTGTTTTGGGTCAAACTTTCTGGTCTTTGGCATATTTAAACCTCTAGCCATGGTTCTCATCTTTAGCTGGCTTCATCCGCTTCCCATTTATTTCTCCATTATGCATCCCGAGTCTGGATGATCCATCTCTCCTCCTCTGTCTCTGCCTGTTTCTTCCCTCCAGCTCTCCACCAGCCAACCCCTGCTATTTTCACCCCACACACATCCGTCGCTGCACTTATCCAGCCTCAGACGGCTGCTGGCTCGACAGCTAAACAGATTATCCAACAACAGAGCACCTCTCCTTCTCCCTCTCTTCCTCCTGCCTCTCTCCATGCACTCCTCTTGCTGCGGGTCCTCGGAGGCGGAGGGGCCCAGGCTCTCCACTAGCCAGGCTCTTTATTGAAGCGTCTATGGGGCTTTATGCTGCCAGCGCTCGGCCTTGCCCCCGCCGTCATCAATCATCCCCGGCTCCAGGGCTGCTATCACTACCCAGACAGGCAGCCAATCACAGCCTTCCAGGAAGCTCTATAGGAGACGGGGAGAAAAACAGAGTCAGAGAAGGGGGAGGAGGATCAGTTTGTGTCTGCTGCTGCCATGATCTGACTGACATCCTCTGTAACTCGGGCGCATGACAACATTGGCGATTTGGTCTGTGTGGTATTTGATTAGATTGAGCTGCAACTCTGAGTCACAAAAGCACATATAAACTCAATTTGTTGCACATTTACACAGAGACTGGTGTAGAAAACCAGTGTGTGAAGAAAAGACTGGAGGGAAGATGTGAGGAAACTTTGCATGAGCAGAAAAAAATTAATCTTTTAAAACATGTTTGCAAGCAAAATTTGACTAGAGGGGAAAAAAAGCTAAAAATTACATTTTAATCTAACAGTCAGTTTGATTTTTTCACTAGATATGAGATTTTTAGGGTGTTCATGAAGCCTGTATCTGTGTATTTACGACAAGTGTTAGAATTGAAATGGTAGTAGGCAGCTTTAGGCTGTATTACCGAGGCCTTTTATGACTGATCTATATTAATCTTGTAGAGTTTGAACTTAAGAAGCTGCAGTGTAAAAATACTGCAAACCAATAAATCTTTAAAGAAATTCAACCCCGATAAAATCAGTGGTTAATGAGTGCTGGAGCTGCATAAGCTGAACATAAAAGTGGGTCTATTTAAAGAAAAGTCACCCAGAAAAAAAGGGAGCACATTTATACTGTTTTTGTTGCAGGCTGTCCTCTTTTTCATCAAAGCTTCAACAGTATGTTGCATTTCTACTCAAGACTTAACTTTTTTAATAATGATTTTTTCCTCCTCACTTCTTTGTTTTTTTACAGCTTTGTTTTTGGCCCCCATCTCTGTCTCTCTGCAGCCCTGAGCTCTCATCCTCCTCCAGGAGGAATAAGGGGAATCTGATTACAAACCTATTTTACAGCAGACGCCAGGGCGCAATAAAAGGAGAGAGAGAGCACAGAAACGGGACTCAGCCCATCAATTAGAGCTCTATTAGCAGCCAATGCAGACCTCACCTCAGGAAACGCCAGGGCCCTAAAATTAAACAATTCTTCAAGCCCGACAAGCCAGTCAGCTCTCTTGGATCTTTTTAAATGAGGGTTATAGAGAAGTGTTGTAATAATAAGGATTGTAATAATTATGTTGTATGAATTAAAAACAAAAAATTCAATATTTTAAAGGGGACGTATGCTAAGTCACCTTTTGCATCCTTTTGTGCTGCCATGTGAGTGTCTACTACCTATAAAATCTTCAAACAAGGAGGAATACTATCCATCCATTTTCCTGCAGGTGTTGTCATGATTTAAGTTGATGATCCAAATGTTGGTGAGAAACTGCAGGCTGCCGAGGAGGTGTGCTCAGAAGAACAGGGAACAGAAGAACAGGGGTGAGCAAAAGCTCAACTGCACAGAGTAATGCAGGAATACAGACGAACTGACAAACAACATAGGAACAACAGGGTTCAAACATGAGGACACTGGTGATCAGGCAAAGGAGAAGCAGGTGGGAAACAAGACACCAACGAGACACTCAACAGAAGCTGGGGAAATGGAATGTTACAGTTTAGACTTTCATGTGTCTGAAACAAGCCGTTTCAAAAAGTCCCTGTTTGTGATGTCGCAGTCGGGGAAATTAGAGTAGAACCACTTCATGTGAAAGAGTGAGCTGTGAGAGCATCATCTCTCCTCCGAGCCCCTCCTGCATAAGGAGCTTCTCAGCATTTAGCAGCCTGAGTGTGTGTGTGTGTGTGGGGGGGGGGGGGGGTGGACGTGGCCAGCTCCAGCATATTTTCTTAAAGTGACAGAGCCCTGAAATGCCTCATTCTTTAAAATACTGAAACTGTAAAGAAAAAATGACAATTTGAAAAAATGACATTGCTTTATGTGAGAGAAACTTACTGCAAAGAACTTAAAAAATATTGTTCTGTGTCGAACACCAAATTATTATAACTTGGTCCTTTTTAAAATAAAAACGTTATTTATGTATTCTTTAAAAATCTGTCTAATGCTAATTATTATCAATATATTTGTCGTTTATTTATTTATTTATTTATTTATTTATTTACTATTATATGTTCCCTTGTTTTGTCCTCCTCCTGGTGTCATTAATCTCCAACTGTTGACCTGCTGACCTGAGGTGGGACAAAATGTCAATATTGGATAATAAGCTGCTGCATTAAAGCCATTTGGAGAAAACAACTCCATGGACATCAAATCATTATTGCTTTTTAGATAAATGAAACGTTCTACCTAGCGACTTTGAATGCTGTGAGATGCTGGATAATTGGGTTTTAGTGGGTGGCAGTTGGGATTTACATGTTGATGGGGGGGGGGGGGGGGGGGGGGTTTACGTGTTGGGAAGAGGAGCAGGGATGCGGGATTCTCCTGCCTTCATAAACAATTGTATGTTTATGGATTCTATAATCTGGTTTATTGCCCATATGGCCAGGATTACCAGGTGATGTGGCACAATAAACTGTAACTGAACTCTGTCTGTCAAATGAGTTTTAAATGAAACAGCTGAGGATATATATATATATGATTTGGTTCCCAAAAAGCCGTAATTCGTCCCTTATGGTCATACATGGTTTATTTCCGGGTGTTTTGCTATATGTATTGGAGTTGAAGCTTTTACAGCCTTTTGCATTTCTGGCATATAGGACAACAGTGTCCTCTCTTTACATCTTGTCTTGATTCTCACAACCGTGGCACGTATTTCTCTGTATGTTCAAAGGATGGCCATTTATCATTGAGAAGGACAGCTCCGTATTTTCTACCTTTGCCCGCTCGGCTTCGGGACCAAATTCAGCATTTTTATGGAAAACTGCAGTCATTTTGATTGATGAAATCCAAAGATGTCCAAAACAATCCACGAGATCCCCAACTGTGGCGCACCGGCGGGGTGCTCCAGTGTTGTCATTGTTCCGCATGAAAGAAAAGAGCGCGTCCGGAGAACACCAGGGGAAGAAAAAAAATCACGATTTTCAATTCAAAAGAGCCAGAAAAGCAGCGTTTCTTTACAGGCAGTGGGAAAGTCAAGAAAGCCCTTTTTCACTTGCAGACGACAACAATACTTTCTTGGTTTTTTCTCCTCTTGATGCATTCACGTGTTGTTATCGAAGCAGACCGGAATAATGAATGAACTATTTTACTGTGAGAGTTGGTGTTATTTGTGTGAGCGGCTTGAATGGCTGGTGACCCCCGCACGCACGCACGCACGCACGCACACACACACGCACACACACACACACACACACACACACAGAAGTTGTCCGAGTGTGCATGTGGCAGCGTAAAGTAAAATGAGTTTCCCTTAAAACCGATTTCCCATCGCGGTTATTTACTCGCTCCTGTCTCGTTTGCGGTGATTCATAATGTCACATGAAATGTCACCTGTCTGGCCTAATTGCCACCTTCTGTTATTAATACCGGGAGTGCGGCTCCCTTTAGCACCCCTTGGAAATAAGCCTATATTGCCTACTTAATACTGCGTCACCCAAAGGGAGATTCAATATATCTCCCTTTAACGGCGTTTCCCCCTCAAAACTCCTTCAGGCGAGTAGAGGCCGTGTCAAGATTGCGATTGTGCGCCAGTGCTTAGGGCCAGCTGCTCCCAGGACAGACAAGCCCTTGTCAATTAGGCGGTGACAAGCAGGTCCTCCAAGCGCCCGCAGGCGCTCCACCAGCCAGCAGTGTACAGTCCCCGCAATTAGTATCAATTTCTGTCGAGACCTCCTTGGAGCGCACAGACACAAGCCGGGTAAATGGCCAAACATTGTCCGAATAACACCGTGAGAGGCTGGGATGACAACGTGTAATGGGTTCAGTGTAAACCGCACGGCGCGCTGCAGGGGAAGAAAAACGTTTGAGTTTGGAAAGAAACGCAAACAAACGCAGCAGGGTCCAATAATCAGCGCCTTCTGACTGCGTCAACGTGGAGTTTAAAATCTCAGGGAATAACCAGCAGGCACAAGTATAACATTAGGCTATGGAACAGGTTGGCTTTGGGAGTCAAATAATGAACGAATAGCATTCAACTTTCTGTTTTAATTATTTAGAATTAAAAATTACTGCAAAGGCGATATGTGTTAAACTAAGGTAACAAATTCTAAAATAATACTGTTAAATCTCAATATGTATTATCCTTTGGGAAAGCAATGTATCAAGTCGTTTTTGTGTAAAACATAACTGGGACAGATTATGATTTTTTTCTGAAGTTAGAATAGTTTTAGGTTTGATTCCAAACTGGTTTATGAATTTCTCTGAAATAAATCCCTCTCACAAAAAGTTATTTCAGCAGTTTTATTATTGTCATTTTCAGTACCTTCCAGAATGAGCCGTTTCAGGGCTGTTTAACAAAACAAGCTGGAACTGACCACGCCCACCCATCCCCCGTTTAGGCAAAACACACGTCTAAAGACTGCTCTTAGCTGAGTCCCTCTCATACCTGGGAGGGGCTTGGAGTAGAGCCGCTGCTCCTTCAGCAGCCGCTCTCTCTTCCACATTAGAGGTGATTAGGTGATTATGTGCGTTCTCAATTTGTGACTACACTACATTTGTCAGAAACTTTAGTGTCTTTTCAGAATGAACATTGTCTATGCAATACCCAATTACAAAAAACTCACAAATGTGGGCCATTGATTACGAACAAGATTTGTTAATTTTCACACAAAAAGGTGATTTTTCTAACAAATCCATTCACGTCCATGTTGCAAAAATGAGTACACCCAGATTATAGTCTTAGGAGAAAAGCCACACTTAAGACTACACAACCCAAATTAACAAGTGTTCAATCAGGTGAGTCTAATGATTTATTTAAGAGGTGTCCAGCAGACAGCAGCCCTTCCCATTTCATGCTATCAGCAATGGCTCCACATGGAAGAGAAATGTCACAAAAGCTGGGAAAGGAATTTTTTTTTTCACAAAAAAAGGTGAGGACTACCAGAAGAAAAGCAAAGCTTTGCATCTCAGTCAGAATACTGTAGCAAAAGTGATCAAGAATTGTTGTGCAACCA